TAACGGTTATAGAATTCAATTGATACATGACAAAAAATGTTGACTTTTGTACCATCTTTCAGTTGTTTCTTCTGGCTTATGGCAGTTAGTTAGTACAATACAATCTTTTGTGTCTTGCCATCGTATAGCTAATGCTCCAGTTTCATTACCTTCTACTTGCGATTCTCCTCGATTTAGCTAAATTTTTTGAATTTGTTTTTTTGGCATGTTTAGTTTGGTAGACTTCCTTATGGAACCAAAACTTTTGTCGGACAATATTTTTTTCGGATATTTCACGAAGTCGACTTTGGTATTCACTAAACAGCAATACGTTATTAATAAATTTGCTACATCACTTCAAAATGACCACTTTCTTGGATAAGCTGGAGAGAAATAGCACCCGGTACAGAAAGTATCCCAAGAGATATTTTGGGGGTCGAGGTCTTATAAAACTATCCTGAAAATTGTAGCCTGTTATGTATGAGTGATATAGTATGGTACCTAGACTAATGCCATAGTCTACTGAAATATCCCGTCTCAACACAGTTTTAAGCCAGTTTAAAACATTGAGAATTTTTCAAACATGTATTGGGATATATATATATCCCCACAGGAGTGATAAGGTTAAATTAAAAAACAACCAGCTCAAGACTTTTGCACCATGCTGTATAAAATAATGCATATTTAAAGGAATGTATTACGCCAATTAATACAATGTAAGAAGGCTCTCTATATGATAATAATACTTTACAGTAGGTTTTAACTTGTATATGAAGTTACAGCAGGGCAGAATCAATCTAACTTTCTTTACGTATTACTTTTCAACAAAATATAAATGCAAACGAGGATAAAATTCGAACACCAAGTTGTATCTGTGCCTGTGGGTGCCGCAGTTTGAAGATGAATTTATTTATTAAAGTAGGGTGAATCATTCCCCTTCGGTATGACTCACTTCAGATAAAAGTAGTTATTTGTGATAGGGGCAAGGGAGCTTTCACTTCCAATACGAGTCCATTTTCTACACCCTTTTCCTTATATATTTGCCAGTATTTGCGTCCTATACTATAAAGAATTTGTGTTGTACGGGTAACTAGACATTTGTTATAGTCAATTTTTAATAAGCTTGGATGGTACACTCAGAGAAAAGGTTTTTATTTTTAAATAGATTTTTATCTAACTTAAAATGATATTTACTTTGAAATTACAACTAACAAACAATTATGCACTGAAAACAGTACACTCACTGAATAGTGGAATAAATTTTTTTTTTATTAAAAAAAAGCTATTCTTAGCCACGCAGTATAGAAGAAGTAAAGATCACAATTTGTAAATAGTAATAAACTAAGTTTATCATATAAATAAACATACAGTAAGTATAATTTCGTATATGTATGTATATTATTTATTTTAAATGGGACCGGAAGGTAAGAAAAAATAGCAATTTATACAAAATTTTTTTATTAAAATCTTAGGATATACAAATATAAAATTGACAATTCAATTTATTTTGATGTAGAAGGCTTTATAAAATCAAACAAAGTCCTTCAGTCAAGTTTCTAATCGTCATTTGATCTTCAGATTGAACAGGATAAAAAATTTAAGCTTTTTAATGTCTTGTTCTTTCTTCCTCGTGCATTTCTATGAGGTCATCTATTGTCAGCTCCTGATTGTGGGAATTCAATAGTTTTTCAATGTCATCACTATCAACTTCTACATTTATTTGCTGGGCGATATCAACAACTTATTTAATAACATTACTAAGTTTATCATGCTCTGACATCAATTCCATTTCAGTGTCAGTGATGAAAAAAAAGGTCACAGTTTTTTCCAGATGCCATTCAACGTTTTTTGTGAAACTTCATTCCAAGGTTGTACAATGATTGTCACTGCATGTGACACGGTAACATTGTTTCCAAAAGTCTTTGACACAGAGCTTGTCGTTTTTTCTTATAACTTATGATCGTCTGGTGTAATAAGCTTTGAATGATTCAATGACTGCCTGATCCATCGGCTGAAGTAAACTGGTTGTATTAGGTGGCAAAAATTCAACTTTCACATATGGATCAAAACAAGCGTTGTCGATAATTAACATTACTTTAAATGGACTTCATTACGGACGAAATTAACAACCGACTTCAGATATGAAATAATGACCAAAACAGTCCTCCAAAAGGGAAGCTGTCGCCGAAGCTTTACGATTAGTCGTCCAAATTACAGGCAAGTCAGATTTAGATTTAATATAAGGTTGAATGTTCGAATAATTAAACTTTGACGGTATACAAGGCAACTATCGAACACAGTGATTAATTTAATCTTGCCCAAGTACTTTCGATCAATAGATCATCTTCAGGGGCATTTCGTCAGTTGTGGCCTATCCGACATGAGTAGAATGTCATAAATGTAAATTTGGACATAACAATACAAAATACAATACACAAAGACAAACAAACACTTCATCAAACATGTAGCTTCTCCTTTTCAAAAATTTTAAAGTGTTTGTTTGTCTTTGTATATTGTATTTTGTATTGTTATGTCCAAATTTACATTTATGACATTCTACTCATGTCGGATAGGCCACAACTGAAGAAATGCCCCTGAAGATGATCTATTGATCGAAAGTACTTGGGCAAGATTAAATTAATCACCGTATTCGATAGTTGCCTTGTATACCGTCAAAGATTTAGATTTATTTTTAGTGCTCTTGGATTTTCTGAGCGATAAACTAAGAGTGGTTTTAACGTGCAATCATTACCTGCATTTGACCCCACCATCACTGTCAATCGATCTTTGGCAGCCTTAAAACCTGGAAAGATTTTCTCTTCACGTATGACGAAATTTCTCTTAGGCATCTTCTTTCAAAACAGGCCAGTCTCATCTACATTGAATATGGTTTGTTGGGTGTAGCCACATTCATCTATTATGGCTTTTAATTTCTGTGGATATCAAGACTCTTTATCAGCCCTTGTCGCTTCTCCGCTTTCTGCAATACTATGCCAATTAAAGCGAATTTTGAATCGGCTGAACCAACCGTTACTAGCTTTAAACTGTTCATCCTAACCGATTCTCTTTCATCTCTCTTTCAATTAGCTTAGCTTGGGAGCACACTGTATTCTGATCAATGGGACAAATTTTTGCATTCACCTCATTATCACACCATAACTTTAACATTGTTGTTTTGTTTAACATTGTATAATTGTTCTGACCGTTGATTTCGATAGACTAAACTTCTTTGATAGTTCACAGAATTTCATTTTTGATTCAAAATCTGTAATTACGTTAAGTTTACATTCCAAAGATAACGTTTTTCTTTTCTTGTTTGCTACAGAAGGATCAGTTTTACTTTAAGTTTGGATGTCATCATTGCTCTTTCCAGTCTTTAGTAGATATAAAATAAAAATTCCGCTATAAAAGTAACAAACACCCACTCTGTAGACAAAACTGATGAGAACTAGATTATATAGAACTAGACTAGATAAGAAATACCTAATACAAAATAAATGTGTTGATTTCGTGCGAAAAGTCAAAACATGTACTTTGAATGAGCAATCATGTATGGGCAGTAATTATATCTAATCAATAATCAAACGATTGTGTGGCACTCAGATCGTGTAACTCTGGATTCGCGTAAATCGGGGTAGCATAAGTCGAGGTATTACTCTATACAAAAATTTCGGTCAAATATGAAGAATGAATATCAAAAGTTAAAAAAAACAAAGAATATTTAGTGACACAAAATCATACCAATTAAAGAAAATGTTTTAATTAATTACAGAATATAGCTAATAGGACCTAGAAGTACTTAGAATTGTATAAAACCTTAATTGGTGGAAAAGTATGCTATTTGGGCTGCAATATTAAAGATACTTGGGATCACAGCTACGAAATAAAAACTCGCATTGAAAGAGCCAGAAGCTCTTTCGACAGCCTTAGGAAGATTCTCTGCAACTTATCTTTAAATATCAATATACGCATAAGAATTCTTAGGTGTTTCGTCTTTAGTGTCCTCCTTTATGGAGTAGAAAGCTGGAGCTTTACAAAAGATGCCATAAAACGATTGGAGGCATTTGAAATGTGGTGCTACCGACGTATGTTGAGGATCTCATATATACATCACACAAGTAACATAACTATTCCGCAGAGGCTAAGAAAAGACAAAGACATTATTTACACCATAAAAAACAGAAAATTGGGTTACTATGGCCCATCGAGCAAAAAGACAAAAGAGGGAATGTAAAGGTGAGTGGTGGCAAAAATATTGTTAGACAGGAAGTGCCATCTTGAGAGGTCACATTAAACAAGGAAAGAGAGTATCTTTCCTTGTTTAAGAAATCAAATTTAGTTGGGTTATGTTATTGCTGATGTTATTGTTTGTCCCAACTGTCACATGAAAGATTATTTGTATTTTTTATTATTATTATTATTACTTATTATTATTATATACTAATATAGCTTAATATAGCTTTTTACCTAAGCTATCTGAAAATTCCCTAGGAATAGAGAAAATTCCCTAGGTCTGGTAACACAGACTAAAAATATAACTACAAAAATACAATTACAAATGTCTAACAGAAATCCCTGGTAGACGGGAGGGTATTACTAAGAACTATATATTTCTAAAGGGAGGGATTATAATAGAAAAATTTCCCCAGAAATACTTTAAAAATTACAACTATGAATCTAAATAAAATAAAATCGAAAAATTATATGAACTTAATTATAATGGGGCGGAACATAATATTTAAAAAGCCTTTCTGGTCTTCAAAGGAAGATTATTTTGGAAGCCTGAAAGATTAAATGTATTGAACGAGATCAGAAGTATACAATCTTTAAACAAAATGGTCAAAATATATCATCGGAACAGAAAAGCTGCCGAAGAGAAAAATTTTGCACCAAAAATTATATTTTACTTATTCTTCATTCTTCTGTAACTTTTAAAATTTTGACTAACTTAAACTTTCATCAGCATTATTATCGCTAATAATAGTTCAAAACTAAACTGTCTTAAATAAAACAAGTAAACAATATATTTAGTTCTTATAATTTTCAAACTGTACTCACATAAAAAACAGACTGATTTACTTTGTAATTTCATCAACTGGAGTTTTGTTTCTTACTAAAAATAAAATTAAAAATATCTTTCGTGTATTACACGTATCACTATTTACTTGTTTGATCTAATATTTATTATTTAGGACATTTGCCATAACAAGAAAAGTGAGAAGAACAAGTGGAAAAACATAAGAGTAACGTCAAGAAAACATCTATAAAAATAGAGTGAGAAGTAAGAAGAACCAATGGAAAATCATAAGAGCAACGTCAAGAAAACATCTATAAAAATATAGTGAAAAGTAAGAAGAACCAATGGAAAAACATAAGAGCAACGTCAAGAAAACATCTATAAAAATATAGCATTTAACCCTAAAATGAGCAATTTTTTTTCGAGTCAAATTTTTTTTCCATACATTCATCTATAACTAACAAAAAAATTTAATTACTATAAACGTTTATATCGAAAAAAGTTCAGATGTACCAGATTTGCTACATCATGTAAATATGAGAAAAAAACATGAAACAGTTATTATTCTTATTCAAACGGAAGTGTAAACTGCATTTTAAACACTTCTTCTTCTTGTGGTGCCTATCCATTACGGATGTTGGCTACTAGCATGGCAATTCTAACTTTATTGACCGCAGCTCGAAATAGTCCTGAAGTAGTCAAGGAAAACCATTTTCGTAAGTTCTGAAGCGAAGATATTCTTCTTCTTCCTGGTCCCCTCTTTCCATAGACCTTTCCCTGTAATATAAGTTGCAGCAGGTTATATCTATGGTCGTTTCGCATTCTATGTCCAAGCTAGCTTGCGCTGTTTCACTGTGGATATAATTACACATGTTTTGTCTATCCGACGTAGAACCTCAATGTTTATTATTCTGTCCACTCAGGAGGTCCTCAGTATCCGTCTATAGCACCACATCTCAAACGCCTCGAATTTTCCCATGGATGCCTCGGTTAGTGTCCATGGTTCAACCCCATAGAGCAGCACTGTAAACACGTAGCATCTCAATAAACGGATTTTCGTTTTTAAGGGTAGGTCGTGGCTCTAAAATATCTTGCTCATTCTGACAAACGCTGACCTGGCTTTTTCAATTCTTTATTTTATCTCAACTGAGTGATCCCATTGGTCGTTTATAGTGGTTCCTAAATAGTAGTAACGGGGCACTTGGAGTATTTGTTGCTGATCTACCAGTAATTGACTAGGGGAATATGCTTCTTACTGATGGCCATGTACTTTGTTTTCTTGATGTTAAAATCAAGCCCGTACTCCTGACTGATTCTCCACAACTGCGTTACTAGTGTCTGTAAACCTTCTAAACTGTCTGCAAAGAGAATGGTGTCGTCTGCATATCTGATGTTATTCAGGCGCTCACCATTTATGAGAATCGATCACCCTCTTCGATATGCTCTAAAACCTGGCTCATGATGTGTTACAAATAGACGTTAAATATTAGGGGAGAGAGTATGCAGCCATGTCGTACTCCTCTTTTTATTGCAACTTCTTCTGTCAGTTGGTCTTTCACCCGAATGGTTGCTGATTGGTTGTAGTGTATGTTCTTCATTACTCGAAGGTTTTTGTTATCCAGATCAGTTGCCTTTAGTATATCCATGAGCTTATTGTGCTTAATTCTGTCGAAAGATTTCTGGTAGTCGATAAAGCATATATAAAGATCGCAGTTGACGTCTCTGCACCCATTAAACACTTAATGAACGAAAATTATTTGCAGTTAGGTTTTTTTTGCATCTTTGACGTGTTTCATCATAAACAAGTCAATGATTAAATTCAAAATCTAGACGAACATCTTTACGTGGTATAAAATAAGTTAACGCAGATGTTCTTTTCTCGTCGTCCTCTTTTATTCGAGTTTGAAGAGCCTTGATAACATAAGCAGTACGCAATGTCGACCCGAATATTTGTCAAAGATAATTTGTTGTCTTCGCGACTTCTTGTGACTTTCCTGTATAACAGTTAGGCGTTTATTACAGCCATATCAATCAAATGATAAAAAAAAACCGTAAATACCATTTCCTAGAGCTTATTTTGATTTTATATCTCCCTATCAATCCATCTAGTAAATCGACACCTTCCATGTGTCTATTAAACTATTTTACTAAATTAGTATATTCTATTTCAATTAGATTTTTTTCTGTCAAAGCGTTTCACCTGCGCAAATAAAGGCAATTTTTTGTAAAAGAAGACACAAGTGTCCGTATTTTATTGTCTTTTCACACTATTGTTGAAATATCTACCCCATCAACATCGGCCACATATTCTTATGAAACGCCTCGATCGTTCTTCAACAACTCTTTATCACTAGGCAATTTACAGTTGAGAATTCGCCCTCTTCGAATTGTTCTAGAGAAAGAATTCCATTTCGTACAAGATAAGCAACAAAAGGTATTGAGATGTATAGACAAAATATATTCTATACTTCAAATTACATGGTACACTTCTACATAATCGAACGACCACATTAGCACTGGATCTCAAATCTGGCTCTTCTGATTTTTTGTATTTGGTTCGTTACCAGTAAAAATCTCAAACTTATACGAAAAACGATCTGTTCTACAAAGTATAAATAGTTTGTATCCCCATTTATGAGATTTCGTAGAAAGATATTGTTTTATGTAATATCTATCTTTAATTGCACATGTTCGTCAACACAAACGTACCCTTGTAATGGAATTTATTGGAATCTTTCATTCAGCTCATCGATGATGGTCGTAAATTATGTAGTTTATTATTCTCTGGATGATCTCTTGGTTTTATTTCTGAGATTCTATTGAAATGAAAGTAACTTCGAATCTTCATAAACTTATTGTAGCTCATTCTTCTTCGTGTAGTGCCTATCCGTTTCGGATGTTGGCGACCATCGTTGCAAATTTTGTAAACTGCTACTCTGAAAAGATTTGTGGTTGTTGTGTTAAACCCCGTACGTCGATCAGAACCACGTTTCAGCCATGAAATCTTTTGCCTTCCTGGTCCTAGTTTTCCTTCTACTTTTCCTAGTAGAATTAATTGCAGCAACTAACAAGCTCTAACATCAGCAAACCTTATCTTTTGCTGTTCCTTATGATGGGACCAAAGTATTCGATTTTGGCTGTTTTTGTTGTGGTTAAGAACTCTTTTCCTTTTTGAATTCTTAATAAAACGTCCTGGTTAGTAACGCAGTCGGTATAGGATATCTTCAGGATTCGACAATAAAGTCACATTTCGAAAGTCTCAATTTTCTTGCAGGTAGCGTCTGGATGTCAAATCTCTGAGCCATCTATGCACCAAAGAACAACAGAGATCGCACCACAAGGGAAAATTTCTACGAACACCTTCAGACTGTAATAAACGAGACCCCAAATGATGAATATATAATCATTATGGGCGAAACAGCGATATAACGAAAATATCAGAAATGAAAACGGAGACCTTCTGACAGACATCTGCAACATAAACGAGATACGTATTAATAATACATTTTTCTACCACAAAAAACAATACAAATACACTTTTAAAGACAGTAGAGGACAAAGATCTATAATAGACTAGATTCTGTCGAATAGAGAATTAAAGCCCTCTCAACTTTTGGATGTAAGAGCTCTAATATCAGCAGAAATAGAAAGCGATCATAAATTGGTATTGTGCAAAATCCGCCTGAAAACACATATATGTGATAACCACACACCAGGATACACCACAAAGATAAATGTCTAAAGCTTCAGGATGACTTCACAAGATACCTTTTTCAAAAAAGGATAGCCGAAAAAAGTAGAAATACATATGTCATAGAAAGTGATGGAGTCGAAGAAAGCTGGGCAAAAATTAAGTCTAAAATCTTAGCCTCGGCCAAGGAAGTTTTTGGCGAAAGAAATATAAATAAAAATAAATCGTTATCAAGGCGAAGAACTCCATGGTTTTCCAGAGGCATACCACAATTACAAGACAATTAGAAATAAAACACATGCACTTGTAAGAAAAATAAAAAATGATCACTGGGCACGCTTTTCGAAAAAATGATTTTTACGGTCTGAAAAAGGAAATATGGTGTTTCATAAGAGGTCAAGAACGAAGGTAAAGGAACTAATATAACCAAAACACATAGAAAAGGATACGTGGATTAACTACCTAAAAAAAGCTATATGCAGAGGAAGAACAAACGATTCTAGAACCAGAAACACCAGAAATTACCACAAATGAAGAACTTAATATAAATGTACAGAAAGTTCGGAAAATACTTGAAAACCTGAAGAACACAAAAGCAGCAGGTAAAGACGGGATACCAAACGAGTTACTGAAATATTGTGGAGCAGCAATGACAGAACAATTAACAAGATTCATTATTAAAATTATATAACACAAGAAAATACCAAAAGAATGGAGAACGAGCGAACAATTCTACTATTTAAAAAAGGAGATAAAAAACAGCAAGAAAACTACAGAGGTATAAACTTGGTACTAAAATTTTACCAGTGCTAATAAATCAGAGGTTAAGTTTAGCAAATGAACAACAGGGTTTTTTTAGTGGAAGATTGTGTACAGATGCAATATTCGTTATAAAGCAAATTACTGAGAAATCACTAGAGTATAACAGACCAGCATTTCTGTGTCTGATTGACCTAAAGAAAGCATTTGACAGAGTAAGACTCAAAGATGTAATCCATCTTCTGTATAATTAAGAAGTTCCCCTAAATATTATAAAAACTGTCGATAATATCTACCAAAACAACAAAATGGAAGTTAGAATAGATGTAAAACTTACAAAACCTATAGAAATAGGCAGCGGAATAAGACAAGGGAATTCATTGAGCCCCATTCTCTTTATTTTGATCATGGAGTAAATCATCAAAACCGTAAACAAAAAAAGAGAATAGAGAATGGGAAACAAAGAAATCAAAATACTCTGTTACGCAGACGATGCAATATTGATAGCCCACGATGAAGATAGTCTGCAAAGACTGGTCCACAGATTTAACATAAGAACAAAAGATTGACAATCTCATCTCAGAAAACTAAAACAGTAGTGGTCAGCAAAGAACCAACCAGATGTAAAATAGAAATTGATGGCATCAGTATTGAACAAGTAATGACAATAAAATATCTGAGAATTACACTGTCTAGTTATGGAGACCTGTACAAAGAAGTGAGAGATCAAGTACAAAAAGCAAATAGACTGGCAGGATGTCTTAATAACACTGTATGGCGAAACAGACACATTGACACTGAGATGAAGTCAAGATTTTATCAAGCCAGTGTAAGACCAATAATGACATATGCCTCAGAAACAAGACCCGACACAGTCACAACGCAAAGGCTACTGGAAATGGCAGAGATGAGAGTGATGAGAAGAATTACAGGAAATACGCTGAGAGATCGAAAGAGAAGTGAAGACATTAGAAGAAAATGTAACGTACAGTGTATAAATGAATGGATACCAAATAAAAAAAAGAATACAATAACCACATAAGCAGAATGTGGAAGACCCGTGTTGTCAAAATAGCAAGAGATAAGTCCCCAATCGGCAGAAGAAGTATCGGACGATCGCGCAAAAGTTGAAGTTAGGAGTTAGGATTAATCCGCCCATGAACAAGCAGAATTGCTTATAAAGAGGAAGAAGAAGAGATATTAATACTGTACTATATCAACAAATGATATTTCAAACAATGTACAAAGTGAAGATAAAAATTGCATCTTTAAAATTAAAATTCAATAATAACTAGAACCGCAAACGACGAAAGTGACTACTTGAAAGCAAACGTTCAAAACCCACAAAAAATAGTTTATATTAAAAAGTTTATATTTAACAAACCTTACTGTATATTTGCATTTTAAACACTGTTGATTCATAATGGATTCTTGTCATGAACAAAGAAACAATACGAAACAAATACTTTAGTTAGACAAATATAAAGAAACACTGCCGGAGCTTCTCAAAACAGATGGAACAAGACTTCTACGAAACACAAAAATAAATATGGAGAATGATCAGAGGACAAAGAAAAGAGATGAACAAACTAATATAAACGAAACACATTCAGAAGGAAACATGGGTAGACTACTTTCGATCCCTATTTGCTAAAGGTGACGATAATCAACCAACAACACCAGATATGACGACAAACGAAGAAATAAATATTGAGGAGGAAGAGGTAAAGGAAGTATTATGGAAATTAAAAAATAGAACATCATCAGGAGAGGACAGAATACCGAACGAACTCCTAAAGTACCAAGGACCAGATCTGACCAAACAGCTATTAAAATTAATCCAAAAAAATATTAGAACAAAACAGAATTCCTCAAGAATGAAGATCAAGCATCCTAATACATCTCTTTAAAAAGGGAGACATATCGGACCCGGAAAATTACAGAAGAATTAATTTATTAAACACAACACTAAAATTAACCACCAAAGTAATAACAAATAAACTGAATGAAATTATAACACTAGCAGAAGAACAACAAAGTTTTACGTCGGGAAGATCATGCACCGACGCTTTATTTATAATAAGACAAGTGCAAGAGAAATCATTAGAATACATCAACCCGTTATAACTATGTTTCGTGGACCTTAAGAAAGCAATTGACCGGTTCAAATTAAAAGACGTTATCCACTTACCGTACGCAAAAGAGATATCTCTAGGAATAACCAAAACGATCGAAAATATCTACCAAAACAACACAATAAAAGTAAAAGTAGAAGAAGAAGTAGCCGATCCTATTGAAGCTAGCAATGGGATAAGACAGGGAGATTCCCTGAGTCCCCTATTGTTTAACCTGATTATGGATGAAATAATAAAAAGAGTAAGAACCATGAACGTATAAACACAGATGGACTCAGTTATTTACATAAAATTGTGAAGTCAAAATTATTTGAATAGGTCACATTCTCAGCACCTTCAACTGTTGTCACGTTTTGTTTTAAAATTTCTTATTCGCGAATCGCTGAAAATATTACTCCGTATTTTATACTCTACAGGTGCTATCAAACCAAAATAATAACTTATTAGTTAGATTAATATATTTAATTGTAATCAAAATATAAAGTGTGCACATAGTATGCATTATCATTTAATAATAGCGTATAATAGATATCAATCAATTATTTTATATGTAGAAGCACTGAAAACTATTTATAAATGGCAAACTTCAAATGCTGTTCCATGTTTGTTTACTTTTTAGTAAAAGTTGTTTTTCGATATTTTGGCTGTATTTTGAGTGATATTTGTGAAAATTGAAATAAAATAAACGAAATATTTACATCCCGATCTCTCATTTCATTTGTAAGTACATACAATTTACATTATTTAAGATGAGGAAATGAGGAAGCGTATTTGTTTACATTTTAATAGGCGTACCATTGGGTTTATTCATGTTCATTAATGTATTGAATAATATATAAGTTCATGAAATTAGTAGACAGTAGACATTTTTAAATTGTAAGTAGACATCATCTGATTAAAAAAGATCTGTTTAGTACTTTTTTAATTTAATATTTCTCATGGATACAAATAAATTAGTGAAATGAATAAAACTCATTTATTTTTCTATGTAGGTTTCCAAATAATATCGACAATCGAACTATTTGGGTAGCAAATTTAGGAGAAAACATAAAGATTTTTTATTGTAGCATTATTTTGATACCTATTAAAAAATTAACTTGAAAACTATATTTAATTGTATTAATTTTAAAGCAAATAAAATTGTATTTAAATTTTTCTATAAAGACGTGATTTGTTAATAGTTAAACTCTCGTTTTTTTTTAATTCTTTGAACGTGTTTTTATACATTATTACTACTTCCAATTTTTAAAATCTGAATAATTACCCGCGAGTAAAAATTTAAGCACGCTTATGCTCATTGCGGAAGCATCACATTCTATCGAAGCTTCAAAATATTGTGTGTTAAAGGTATCTTATTGCTGTGTCCATCTATGTTTATACGTCCATGGTAAGAACTAAAAAAGGATACCAAATTGGAGAAAAACAACTTAAAATAATCTGCTATGTAGACGACGCAATACTACTCTCTTAAAGTGAAGATGATTTGCAACATATGCTGCACCAATTTAATATAACCGCCAAAAAATTTAATATGATAATTTCCCAAAAAAAGACAAATTGCATGGTTCAACAGCAAATTTACTAAGATGTAAATTGGAGCTGGAAGGTCAGCTAAGTGATAAAGTTTTAATATCTAGGCATCGGAAAGCTCGAAACTGAAGTGGAAGATCAAGTGAATAGAACAAACAGAGCCGTCTGAATGAAACAATATGGAGAAATAAAAATATCGAGAAAGAAACGAAAAGCAGAATTTACAAAACATCAGACCAATAATGACATACGTGGCAGAAACAAGACCTGACACAGAGAGAATAAAAAGGATTTTAGAAGCAGATGAAAACACACAAAAATTGGTGGTAACACACTATATGACAGAGCTAGAAGTACAGATATACGACGTACATGCAAGGGTGGGAAACATTAAAAACTGGATAAGAAATAGAAGAGTATAATAAAACGATCATATAAGCTGAATGACAACAAATAAAGTAGTAAAGACGGCAAGAGACGGTTCCCCAATAGGAAGACGATCAGTAGGAAGACCACGAAAACGATGGAACGACAACTTACTGGAGGCACGTTGAAAAACAGATAGAGTCATGTCTATATAAAAAGAAGAAGAAGAACAAAGAAACAAACATAAGTCATGAAAGGGGAAAATGACTAAAAAAAACATAGGTTAAACTAAACTAAACTAAAAATTGAATACTTAGCAGAAAAATTCCTTTAGCAGAACACACTGAAGGTAAAGAAGATAGAGTATGTAAAATGCAACTTGCCAAAAATCCAAATTGCCAAGAGGTACACAAACATAAGCCACATTAATGATACACAGAAATAAAAAAAGAGCAAATAAGCATATAAAAAATAACGGAATCTTAATGGTAAACAATGAGAACGATAAGGATACAATAAATGTTGATAGGCATTTATTGTATCCGTTTAGCAATGTTTGATAGGATTTGCATTTAGCTTACTCAAAATACTTACATTTTTTTCTATCGGAAACTGTTTTGGTATGACATTTACATAGTTCTTCGCACTTTCTTTTTCTAAATAACTTTATAACAAAACTACTTTTCTTATGCGTACAACAACATTTATTAACATTTTCACAATTGCAAGGTATTCCTTCACCGGCCTTCTTACACGTCCGCAGAGATTTGCTAAAAGAAAGTACATATTATGAAATTACCTATTAAAATCAAACAATAAAATATTTTTTAATTTTTTTGTATTGGAAAAGAAAATAAGCCAATTCTAAAAATGTATTAGGTTTGCTTCACTTCAAGAACGAAATTTTCTGAATAATATAGGCTATGTGTACTCTTTATTCCCTCTATATCTGTTTTTGACCACTTTATAATACCAAATGAGTAGCTCAGCGCAGAACAGGCGTACGTATTTAATACATTTTTACTGTTAAGATATGACCGATTTAGTTGTCTTAAGTTTATTGTCAATTTTTCGCGCTTGCTGTACTTCGAGATGTTTGTACATTTCATTTTCACCCATTGCCTCGATGTTTTGGCCATCTTGCATATCGAAACCTCCTGGCTGAACCTTTCCTCCGACTATATTTAATATACGTCACTTGTCTAGTCCAAAATGCATACTGATATCATTTAAGAAAGTTTCTACAGTTTTTAGCATCTGATCTAAGTGGTTTCGAGTGGAAGCCATTAATTTAAAATCATCCACTTACAACAGATGATTAAGCTTCGCCACAACAGTATTGTTATTTTTGATTCTAAAATCTGAGTCAGTAGAGTTTAGTAGCTGAGATAGTGGGTTTATTGCTTGGCAGAACCAAAGTGGACTCAACGAGTCCCCCTGGAAAAGGCCCCGGTTAATAGGGATATTTTCAGTTTCGATATTGGTTTCACCAGGTATTTGTAGGTGAATTTTAGTCTTCCACTCTGCCATTATATGCTTCAAAAAGGTCACGAGATTATCATTGACTTTATATATTTTTATTATTTCTATAAGCCATTCATGCGGCACTGAATCAAAAGCCTTCTTGTAATCAATGAAGGCAGTAAACCGTTTTTTTTTTGTGTATGCCTGTTTGGAAATGACTGAGTCGATAATAAGTTGTTCTTTGCAGCCCATGGAGCCCTTAGCGCATCCTTTCTATTGAGGCTCTATGATATTGTTCAAAGCACAGTGTTGGTAGATACGCCGTGCCACACAGTATGTGGCCAATTTGCACAAAGTTGGAAGACAAGTAATTGGATGGTACTTGGCTGGATCTTGAGTGTTATTTTGATCCTGCCGTATTAGATAAGTAGTTCCCTGAGTAAGAAATGATGGGATTTCCTGTGAATTAGAAATAATATTATTAATAAATACTGTTAAAAGCTCATGAACACTCCAAAACTTCTTTAGGCAGAAATTTTGAAGTTTTATTATTATTCTTTTTATTTTTATTTTTTTTTTCTTATTGCGAGCTATGCCGATACTTTTTACTTTTATTGTACTATGAACTTACATTAACCTTTTCTTGTAGTTGTTTGAAATATTTTAAATGTTTGGCATTCATTTCCTTAGATAGCTGTAGCTTCCTTCGTGAATGTGTTAGTTCTTGCTTTGGAAACCTCAGTGATTTCTAACAATATTGTCACAAATTGGTTGCATTACTCCTATTTTCTGATCCTTCCTGATATCTTTTTAAGTTGACATTCAGTAGATGATACAATGCCGCTTAAACTGAGGGAATAAGAAATGCGCATAAACCACCTGACTAAGCAAGAAAAAATGCACACCTGGATGAGTAAAACTCTGCATGGGCGACATCTCAGTGAGATCAGCCAAGAATATGTCGACAATATAGCGTCGAACTATTGGTTGACATCAGGAAAGATGTTTTCCGAGACTGAGGGTTTCCTACTTGTCATTCAGGACCATGTTATTCCAACTAAAAATTACCTGAAAAATATTGTTACAGATCCTTAAGTCCAAAATAACAAACGCCGATATGGATGCCAAGCCCAAGAAACCATGCGACATCTTATCGGGAGCTTTCAGGCGTTTGTCGGTACTGATTATAAATAACGCTATAACACAGTAGGAAAAATTATCCACCAAGAATTAGCTGACAAACTGGGACTTCTCCAAACCGATCATCTTCCTTATTATCAATATGTCCCTGACAGAATGCTTGAAAATGACGACTACAAGTTATATTGGGACGGCATTGTGCTCACAGACGAACCAGTGGCACATAATAGACCGGATCTCCTACTAGTTAATAAACTTACTTTATAGGCATTTAACACTTATTGGGGTGGTGATACCTAACACCAATAATTTGCATGTTAAATACATCGAAAATATCACCAAGTACAGAGATCTAGAAATACAAATCAGGATACAATGGAGAATGGAAAGTACCCGAATAGTACCTATTATTCTATCTACTGCTGGTGTTATTCCCAAAAACCTCCTAGAGAACAAAACAGGTGAGTCTATGGTCATGCAGAAAGCTGTATTCCTCGAGACGTTCAGATGTGTACGAAAATTCTTGGGAGATACTTCAGCATACCAAGTCACATAGGGCTCGATAACATGGAAAGAGTTCCATCAGAACTCAATCATTTTGATATCGTAGGTATCTGGGATGAGTGAATTTTCACCTTAGAGGGAGTGTAAGCCATATGGCTAAATCTGGGAAAACAATATTCATTAAATAAAACAAAACACAACAAATTTGATCAAATATCTATATAAATAAAAGTGTTCACAAAGAAGCATTTTTTTTGTACACATAATTTGACAGGTTACGTCAAAATAAGGGATCTCTAAATAAAAGATCTCTGGTTATTTTTTACACAATAATATATTTATAAACACCATGAGGTACAAGAGTTACTTTACCAAATTTTGCAGATAGGACCTTTTTTTGTTACAAGACAGTATAGGATAATAATTATATTTGAAGCGTGCATTTCCATAACGTAGTAAGTGCCAAATTATAAATTTTTCAGGAGGAGTAAAAAACAGTTTTTTATCGAACATGTTTATTTCTTATAATGTAACATACTGAAAAAAGATTAGTTTAAAGGTATTATATAATACAAACATACCGCAAAGGAACAATAAACAAAGCTGTCTAAGGTCAAAACGTTGTAAGTGCCATCAGGTTTGCAAGTCAAAACGTTTTAAGTGCCAGATTTTTAACCGTTGTTTCCTACAGTAGAAACTTGCCCTGGTTGACCTAATTTTTCTTTAAAATACTTCTTGGGATCATCGTGAAGATAAGGGAGCATTTTTTCAATATCTGTTCTTTTTTTCTTTGGGATACCAAAGTGAGTTCTAGTTTTTTGAAGGTCTATGATTTTAAAGTCTTCTAATGTAACTCTAGATTTGAGTACATTGGTCTCACTTCATGCAGCGAGCTCACTATGTCCTTTAGTCACCATCACCGTACCAAATTTCTCTCTTGTAAGACGAAGCTGCGTAGCTGTTGAAATTCCTAACTGCTTTGTGTTCAGTTTATCACAGGCAACGGTTTTGAAATCATAAAAGTCCTTAACCACCATGCACGAGAATGGATTTTTCTGGGCCGCACTAGTAATGATGTTAACAACATTCATCAATGTATAAGCCTTACACACTTTTTTACGTTTTTCTATGATTGCGAAATCTCTGTCGCAATTAAGGAAAGTGTGTCCTTTTACAGGAAATTTATGAATAATTTCCTCAAAAACGTTATTTGCTAGTATGGTCAAATACATAGTGATCATGAACTGATTTTTATTTTGACCCCCAGAATTATCCTATCACAAAATAAGCTTTTTCTTTCCGTGATTGCCAATTTCCTTAGTAAGGTAAGTATATAAACAGGAGCTAATTTCCAAGGCACCTCTTCCCCCAAAGTCCTCAGTCCATAAACACATGAATCCCTTTCCTGTGATGGAATCGTGAATTCCTAAGTTACACACTGCAAGCTTTTGTGAATAGTACATTTCGGAGTGAGTTAATTGGGGAATGTACATTTGCTGCTACATATCGAAGGAAAGAACATAGCAATTACTTGTACATGCATTTTTGGTCTCAGTTGACATTGCTTTTGTAGCAGCCTCTGCTCTCCGATGGTGAAGCTCCTGTTCTGTTACAGCAGCTTTATCTCCTGATTTTATTTGAACAGCCAACTTTAGGCCTTGCAAAAGATAAGTTAAATTTTGATATAAAAATTTCATTATACCATTGTCTAGTCACTGGTGGTTTGTTAGGCGGCTGATAATCCGCACAATATTTCTCTAAAAATGCACGGTACATTCTACTTACGTTTAAATCCGGTGACAAGAAGAGCTTATCCGGGGTTTTCGCCCTTGCGTAGTGGCTCTCAATTTTTGGAAAACTTTCGATATGCTCTATAATCTTGTTAGTCCAGACAGTCTTGAAAATATTTTGTCGAGCCCCTCCTCGTTTTTCTGACATATCCATTTTACCATCAAGAATTTTTTCTCCCAAAAGTTGCACTCTTCTTGGAGTTACGGCAAACGTACTACAAAATGTTTTGAGGCAAACCCTTATTCCAGATCCTCCAGGCAAAAGTAAATGGTAGGTGAAAGAGTGCTTTCTTCTACTTTCACTGGGAAGTTCGTACTGACCATGACGTCTCCTTTTGATAAATTGGGGATGAATAAACCTTTGTAGGTAACTTTGCTGCTTACTATAATCAGCCATTTCATAGAAATGATTGTACAACTCAACAAGGTATTCCAGTCTTATGGATCTACATGCTAGTGGACACTTGCATTTTACCTAAAACAATTTTGGATTATTTAGATAGATTTAAACAAAAAAAATTATTTATGTTTTAACGTCTATTTAGACAGGTATCTCTTTAAACCATACTTACATCAGCTGGTGGCATTTTCTTTGTATCGGTCTTTTTATTGACTAGAGAAACATATTCTTCGCCAGAGTTTCTCAATTTCTTGGTTTTATTTTTTTTTCCAACTATCTACAACTCTTCTTTTCTTTTTGGACCGTTTTTCTGTAGTTTCATCCATATTCGTTCCAAATACTTATGTTTAAACCCAACCCAACACGTCCAAACAAAAATAATTTAGTAACTGATGCGCCACTCTACATTTAACAGAATTGCACTACGATACTTACAACGTTATGACTTGCACCGCTACTTTATCCCCAGTTT